TCCCCCCCACCTCCTCCTCCTCCTCCTCCTCTTTCTCTTGAGAATGAAGGACTGAAGCAGGGAAAATATGGAGGAAACTTACCAGTAAGCAGTTCATCTTTGTCAGACAGGCAGAGTTGCAAACCTCAAATGGCCTTTGCTCTGTGCTCCCCCACTGGTGTATGGCAGGGCTATGTACTCCAGAATGTCTAGTGACTTCTGCTTTCTTTATGACCAATCAAAATTAACGCTTTTGAATGTGAGCAACAATGTAAATGACATAAATGAATGTTGGTACCCTCTTGTTGGCTTACAGTCAGAACAGTGCAGCAGTCCTTCCAGGTTGCTTCTTAGGTCACCCTGCTCCTTACCTCTGCCATGCTGACCCTACAACATGGTCTAAGAGGTACTTTATTGATGTCTATACACTCTGAAACTTTTCTCTTAGTTCCTACACCCAACCCAGTTCTGTTTTTCTGGGTATGTCAGTTGAAATTCAATTTCAGACAACAGCAACATTTTTAGCTGTTTGAAGCTAAAAGAGATTGAGTAATGGCAGTGCAGTGTGTATAAAATCAATGGAAAGATAGCTGTGAGTCCAAGAGGGCTTCCAGAGACACAGAGACAGCAGAAGGCTGGTCTGCCACGGCAGCCTCTGCCCAGAAGTCAGGAGGCAGAGGGGTTGAAAACCCACACCGACGGCATGCCACTTCTGCTGACATGGAATGGCTTCTGCTGTCACAGCTTTTGACTCTGGAGCCACGCTGGGTCTGTCTGTTGTGCTCACCAATAAAATGAAAATGACAGCCCAAAACAGAAGCATCTAGAACTCTGGTACTGAAGAGCTCTGACTGTACCCACTGGTAGAAACATTAGAATGTTCTGCCTTCTAAATTTGGTGTGTGCACATCAAGGCATTGGACCCCAAATCTCATCTAGAACATGGGCTGCAGGAGGGCTTTTAACCTCTGACCCTGGCAGTTCAGTTCAGCCCTATCTTTACCAACCTGGCGCAGCATTTATCTATTTTCTAAGAGTAAGACTGGCTTTAGGAGCTTCTGCATATTGTTAAAAAACAAATAGCTGTGTCTGTGTATTCTTAGTTTTCATAGTCATTGACTTACAAAGTTGTCTGTTCATATATATGAAAAAGTTAAAGGGACCAATAGCTCTAAATACTTCCATGTGAAATTGACAGAACCATCAGCCTACTGGATGCTTACATTGTTTTCACTTTACAATAGGTTTTGCAGTACCAGAACTGATATATTTATAAGAAGTTCATAGATCAGACATTAATAATACTTTGTCTTCAAATTTCTTCTCTTTGACCAAATTAAGACTTTTTGTGATTTTTCTATCTCCTAATACATTCTTAAGTATATGCAACTTGTACCTATCAAGGAAAGAGCTTATGCCAAAACAGCTTTTTGCATATCCAAGCAAGATACATGATTCAAGAAAGGAAAACTTTCCTTTAATAAAGTGAGAAGGCCATTCTATTTAGGGTGGGGCTCTACTGCAGTTTGAGAAATGGAGCTTTTGAGCTGGGCATGATGGTGCATGCCTATAACTCCAACTACATGAGAGGCTGAGGCAGAAGGATTAAAGTTTGAGGCCAGTCTGGGTAGTTTAGGGAGACCTTGACTTAAAAATGAAATAAAAAGGGATAGGTGTGTGGCTCAGTGGTGGAGAATTCTTGGGTTCAATTCTCCAGCAACCCCCACCTTCACATACCACAAAAGAAATGAAACTCTTGCTGTGAACTTGGACTTGGGAGTGGGTTAGAACTCAGATGATAAGAAAGCTCAGATGATAGAGAAATTTTAATCTCTTATAATTAGGGTTTCTTAAGGTGAACTTAGTATTCAAACATGATGAAACTAAGTCACCAAGATGTTACTTTTAAAATGTCTTGAAAAACCAAATATAAATTATTTTTGAATTATTTATTTGACTTCTTCACATCTTCTGCCTAGTGCACATGTCAGAGTTCATTGCTTGTTTCAATAGAGGTACTAAAAGAAAGCAAGCATTTTTTGCTTTATCAATGACTTTAAAAACCAATGCATTGTTTTTGTCACATTGTAGAATATTATATGGCATTCCTCTTATGGATGAACAGCAAGAAAGTGTCAGCAATGCCCCAGTGCCACCGAGGCTGACCCCTGAAATAGCATGGAGAATGAGGTGGCGCTTTCACAACCCACACCTGGAGCTCTTGGGACAGGAAGTAAGTTCTTTCATATTAGTTTTCTCCATCTCCAAGATTCTTAAACTTTCTGGCTTAGGACACTTTAAACACTATTAAAAATTATTGAGGACTCCAGTAATTGTTTATGTGACCTGTATCTATTGATATTTACAATGTAAAAAATTAGAACAGAAAATATGCATTTATTTGTTAAAAATAGAAATAATGAAGTCATGTGTGACATATATATTTATGAACAATTATTTTGTTACAAAAAATTATAGTGAAAATTATAAATAATATTACTTATTTGTATTGCTTATCTCATCATTTCCTGGCTCTACAGAATACATCTAGGTTCTGAAGTTTACTTCTATATTGAATTTTGTGGTTGTTTTGGTTGACATGTGAGATTTAAGAAGTTGTGCTTTCTTGAGAGTTAGTTGAGAGATTTCTGCTTCTGGGGAAGGTAAGGCAGGTTCACTTTTCTGTATTTATACTACTCACTACCACTAAAAATTGTGCACATTACAAACGTAAGTAGACTCTGATGGTGGATGGGTGAAGCACACTGACTAGGAGTATTAGGACCCAAGTTGTGACGGGGTAGTAAGTCAGTGTTTTCAATTTCCTTTCTTGCTTGATGTATCCTAGATGTAGCTGAATAAGTTGGTGATGTGTACCAGCTGGTAAAGGCAACCATGAGGTAGTTGAGCTTTTGTATCGGATTTATTTTACTGAATGTTCTCAAAAGTTCATCCATGTTCTTACAAGTGCTTCAAATTCATCCATTTTGTATAAATGCCACATTTTCTATTTTTAAATTTTATTTTATTTTGAATAGTAAAAATAAAAGCAAAAACAAACAGCAGAAACAAAGACAGAAACAGGATAAAATAGAACAATACATATGTTACAGATTTTCAAACCAAGAGTGCTAATTAATGGTTGTTCTAGTATCTCTTTTATTGTTAAATCTATTGCTCAGATTAACAGATATAGTTATGCAAGATTGGATAGATAATTGAAAATTACCACTTGATTTCAAGAATCCTTAATTTTTTCTGGTCTTTTTTTAACTTTTTATCCAAATTATTTTAATGAGTGTATAATAATAATTGATAAGATATTAGAAATGTTATACCTTTAGAAGACCAAGATGAGAGGTATTCAGGTGTGATTTTTGTATTATATATTGGTGTTCTTGATGTCATTACTTAGATTGCACATATCAGCATATAGAGTTAGCCAAGGTCAAAACTCTACACATTAATTGCTATTTTCAGAAAATGGATGAAAATTATTAGTACAGTCATCTCAGCCATCCTGTATATATACTTTCATATCTTTCCCTTCCTTTTTTTCCTATCTTTTCTTATTTCTGTCATCTTCATTGTTTAATCCTTGAGTTCAGTTTCTGTTTTACTATATCTATTATACTTTTCAGGTATTCATTTCTTCATTCATGTTCTTACACTACGAAGACAGTACAATATTTGCACATGTGGGTCTGATTTATTTCACTTATGAGTATAGTCTCTAGTTGTATCCACTTACCTATAAAGGCTTTGAGTTTGTCCCTCTGTATAGCTGAATAATACTCTGTTATATAAAAATACCACATCTTTTTTATCCATTCTTCAGGTGATGGGCATTTTGGCTATATCCAAGATTTAATTATGACAAATTGTGCTGCTATAAACATGGGTGCACATATATCACTATTGTATGATGTTTTCAGTTCTTTTGGGAAAATACTTAGAAAGAGAATAGCTACTTTGAGTGGGATTTCTAGTCCTAATTTTTTCAGGAGTCTTCACACTGATTTGCATCGTTGTTATACTAGTCTATATTCCCACTAGCAGTGGAGAGGTGTGCCTGTTTCACCAAAGCTTCTTCAGCATTTGTCATTAGTTGATTTCTTTATGATAGCAATTCTTCTGGGGGTGAGATGATATCTCAGTGTTGTTTTAATTTGAATTTCTTCAATGGCCAGTGCTGTGGAACATTTTTTTAAGTATTTATTTGCCACTAGTATTTCTTCCTCTGAGAGGTGTGTATTCATCTCAGATGCTCCTTTTTGGATTGGGTCTTTAAATTTTGGGGACCTAATGTCTTTCTACTTCTTTATATATTCTATATAGAAGACCTTTGTCTGACTGATTATTGGTTAAGTTTTTTTCCTAATCTGTCTGTGATTTTTTTTTTTGGTAATTTCTTTTGACATGCAGAAACTTCTCAATAAGATGAGATACCAGTTGTTGATTCTTTGCAGTATTTCCCATGCAGTTTGGTTTTTGTTCATGAACTGTCTGCCTACCCGTCTTCTAGATTTCCATCTACTTTCTCTTCCAAGGAGATTTAGTGTTTCTGTTTTAGTGTTTAGATCTTCAGTCCATTTTGACTTTAGTTTAGTGATGACAATTGACCTAGTCTATTTTTAGTTTTCAGCATGTGGAAAGCCAGTTTTTCCAGCATCAATTATTAAAGAGGCTATCTTTCATCCAGTGAACAGGTATGGCCCCTTTGTGGAAGATAGGATGGCTGAGTGTGTTTATAGTTGTATCTGCATATTATAATCTTTCCATTGATCCTTGGTTCTGTTTATTTTTTTCCAGTAGCATGCTGATTTTATCACAGTAGCTTTGTAGTCTGATTTCAAGTCAGGGATTGTAATACCTCCTTCCTTGCCTTTGTTGTCCAGGATTGCCTTTGCTATTCTAGGGCTTTTCTGGATTTAAATAACATTTAAGTATGTTTTCCTGGCTCTGTGAGATACATTGATGGTATTTTGATAAGTATTGCATTAAATCTTTATAAAAATTGTGGGAGTATGGCCATTTTTACAGTTTGGTTCTTCCTATCCAAGAGCAAGGAATATCTTTCCATTTTCTGAAATCCTCTGATCTGTTTTTTTCAGAGTATTGTAATTTTCTTTTTTTTTCAAAGTTTTATTGATAAACA